CAAGGTGGGATTTTTAAACTGAATGGACATTGGATAGTTTTTTCGGTAACTAAACGGTATTATAATGCGGCTTGTTCTTCAGTAATTTTGGTTCATTCATAGGTGTACTCCTTTCCTTTATGCAAAAATGAAGACTTAATCTTATGTATGCTATAGGATTTATTCCCAGACTATTCGCCAATCCGATGGCAGCCTAGTGGCTCTCAAATCCCCATCTGGGAAATCACTAGTCGTGAGACCTCAATGAACGCAATGGATACGAATCGCGCTTCCCATCACATCATCACATTGGACTCCACCGCGATGGCGACTAGATCAGTGACATGTCTGCGAAACCCAGAGGGTCGTGTTGGTATTGCTGGAAAGGGACTGCTGCCCCAATTCGGTGCTAACACCGCCTGTATTGTCATCGTGGAGCGAAGTGGATTTAGTAATGCAGATGAAGTTCTCCTTCATAGGGGCGTTCGGGCACAGGCTCAGTTTCCGTGGGTAGGACAAACTCTCGATCCTCTAACTACGTCCTTGAGAAAACTTGGAACTGATTGGCGTTTACTTCATTCTTTATAGTTCCTCTGTCGTCATGGGCTGGATTGCAGTCAAAACTCCTGCTATACGGAACTTGTAAGAGAGTTCTGCCATAAATTGGTGATGGTGAGCGGAAAATCCGAGATGATTGATTCCACATTACTGAAGCAATTCATTAATTCATACAGCAAACATGTGAGTCAAACGAATTACTTCGGTGCGTTGTATACATTGAACCGTTTTATTCAATATGTGTCTTTCCAGGTGTATTTAGGTCCGGTTTCCGATCCAATAAACTGTGACAATGCTTGGCTTGAAGTGACTGTGGTTTACTTCAAGATTATCTCGCCTTTTAACTCCATTAACAACATAAAAGAGGTATGTTTCGTTCCTCATCCGGATATGCTACGACTAAATTCTTTTATGATGGTCTGCAGGTGTAACTGGTATCAACCGCTAGTACTGTAGCAGGAAAATTAGAGATCTACGTAGCAGGGATAGAAGAGTAAAGAGTACCAAGTACCAAAGCTGAGTAATTCAGAAATGGAATTTTTGTTAGGCCACACGATCATGTTACCATCGTGATCAGTAATTTAATGTCCTATCTCACCATTGCCTCGTAGAAGGAATGTAAGCGGGCGATACTTCGACGAGAAGGGACAATTGGGCAAATTTCAGCTGTTGCTATTTTAGATTTTTACAATTAAAGGAGGAAACACAATTTGGACAAGGATTGATGATCTACCACACATGCGAAAAAGCCATT